GCTGTCAATATTTCCCAAATTGATTTAAATTCAATGCAATGAGATAGGTTTTTTGTAGAATTGACAATCTGATCCTAAAATTCATAAAGAAATTCAAGAAGCCCAGAATTTTCAGAACAATTTTTGGAGGAAAAGAAAAGTTGTAGACTCCCATTTTATCATTTCAAAACTTACTATAAAGCTAATGAAGACAGGATAATATTGGCATGAGGCTAGAAATGTAGATAAATGGAATAGAATTCAAAGTCCAGAAATAAACCTTTACGTTTACAATCAAGTAATTTTTTACAATGTTGCCAAGAAAACTTAATGAAGAAAGAATAAACTTTTCAAAGAATGGTGCTGGATCAGCTGGATATCCACATGCAGAAGAATGAATTTAGGCTTATTTTTCACAGCATACAGTAAAACTAAGTCAACTGGATCACAGACCTAGAAGTAAGAGCAAAAATTATAAAAACACCTGGGAAAAACATAGGAGTAAATCTTCACAAACTTTGGTTAGGAAACGCATTCTTAGATGTGACACCAGAAGCACAAATAATAAAATAAAAAATAGATAAATTGAACTTCATCAAAATTTAAAACTTTGATGCTTCAAAGGACACCATGAATGAAGTGAAAGGACAATCTACATAATGGGAAAACATTTTTGCAAACCAGGTATCTGATGAGGGACTTGCATCTAGAATACATAAAGAACTCTTACTATTCAATAATATAAAACAAATAACCCAATTACAAATCTGAGGAAAAGATCTGAATAGACGTTTCTTCAGAGAAGCTATGCAAATGGTGAATAAGCATATAAAAACATGCTCAGCAAAAAATAGAGTAACAATTATTGACAGGGATATCAAGAAACTGGGATTTTCATGCATGCTGATGAAAATGTAAAATGGTGAAGCCACTTTAAAAAACAGTTTGGAAGTTTCAAAACTGTTAAACGTAGAGTTACAATATTACCCTGAAATTTCACTCCTGAGTATATTTCATTTCCTTTCAATATATGCCGAGAAGAGGAATAGCTGTATCATACGGTGGTTCTATTTTTAAATTTTTCAGGAAACTGCATATTGTTTTCTATAGTGGTGATACCAAATGTACACTCCCACCAACAATGTACAAGTGTTCTCTTTTCTCCACACTCACATCAATGCTTGTTACCTCTTATTTTGTGATAATAGCCATCCTAGCAGATGTGGGGAAATATTTCGTTATGGTTTTGATTTGCATTTCCCTGATGATAGTAATATTGAACACGTTTACATATATCTTTTGGCCATTTGTATGTCTTTGAAAAATGTCTATTCAAGTCCTTTGCCTGCTTGAGGAGGTATTTTTGTTTGCTACTGATTTGTATGAGTTCCTCATATATTTTGGATATTAACCCCTCATTAGATATATGATTTAAAAATATTTTCCCTCATTCTGTAGGTTGCCTTTACATTTTTTTATTGTTTCTTTTGCTGTGCAGAAGCTGTTTAGTTGATGTAGTACCACTTATTTTTGTTTTTGTTGCCTGTCCTTTGGAGTCATTTTTAAATATCACCACCAAGATCAATGTCAAACAGCCCTTTCCCTATGTTTTCTTCTAGTAGTTTTATAGTTTCAGGTCTTACATTTGAGTCTTTATCCATTTTGAGTTAATTTCTCTGTATGGCGTAAGATAAGGTTTTGATTTTATTCTTTTGCATGTGGATATCCAGTTTTCTCAGCACCACTGATGACAGTGTACTTTCCCCATTGCATACTCTTGATGCCCTTGTCAAAGATTAGATGACTGTATATGTGTGGCTTTATTTCTGGGCTCTCTATTGTATTCCATGTATCTACCTATCTGTTTTCACACCAGTATCATGTTGTTTTGATTACTACAGCTTTGTAATATTGTTGGAAATTGAAAAGTCTGATGCTATCAACTTTGTTCTTCTTACTCAAGATTGCTTTGGCTATTTGGGGTCTTCTATAGGCTCCATACAAATTTTGGGATTGTTTTTTCTATTCTGTAAGAAATGACATTGAAATTTTGATTGGGATTGCATTGAATCTGTAGATAACTTTGGAAAGCAAGGACACTTTAAGAACACTGTTCCTTCCAGTGTATGAACATGGGATATTTTTCCATTTATTTATGTCTTCTTTAATTTCTTCATCAATGTCTAATAATTTTAGTGTGTCGATTGGTTCACCTCCTTGGTTAAATTTATTTCAAAGTATTTTATTATTTCGATGCTATTGTAAATAAGATTGTTTTCTTAATTTATTTTTAAGATAATTTGCTATTAGTATATGAAAATGCAACTGATTTTTGTATATTGCTTTTGCATCTCATACCTTCACTGAATGCATTTATTATTTTAAACAGTTATTTGGTAGATTCTTATGTTGTTCTGTAAGTAAGATCACATTTTCCACAAACACAAACAATTTTACTTCTTTCTTTCCAATTTGGAGGCATTTTGTTTCATTTTCTTTCATTGCTCTGGCTAAAACTTCCAGTACTGTGTTGAATGGAAGTGGTGAGAGTGGGCATACTTGTCTTGTTCCTGATCTTAGAGAAAGCTGTCACATTTTTATAATTAACTATGATGTTAGCTGTAAGCTTGTTATATATGGCCTTTATTACATTGAGGAGTATTCCTTCTATAGCAAATTTGTTGAGAGTTTTTATTATAAAAGAATGTTAAATTTTCTCAAATGATTTTTCTGTATCTATCGAAATGATCATATGGTTTTTATTCCTCATTCTGTTAAACTGGCATATGGTGTTTATTGAATTGCATATGTTGAATCGCCCTAACAACCTAGAGCTAAATCCCACTTGATCATTGCGTACGATCTTTGTAATGTGCTGTTGAATTTGGGTTACTAATACTTTGTTGAGAATTTTTGTATCTATGATAATCAGTGATATCATCCTGTAATTTCTTTTCCTGTACTGTCCTTTTCTGGATTTGGTATGAAGATAATGCTGGCCTCATAAAATGAGTTTGTAAGTGTTCTCTGCTCTTCAATTTTGTGTAAGACTTTGAAAAGGATTGGCAATAATTCTTTAAATGTGTGGTAGAATTCACCCATGAAGCTATATCTCATCCTGGGATTTTCTTTGCTGGGAGGTTTTTTTACTTGTTTGGATTTTTATATTTTCATAATTCAGTCTTGGTGGATTGTATGTTTCTGGGAACTTTTTCTAGGCTCGCTAACTTGTTGTCACGTGATTGTTCATAGTAGTCTCATGAGCCTACGATTTCTGTGGTATCAATTATAATGTCTCTTCTTTCATTTATGATTTTATTTATTTGAATCTATTTTTTCTTTTTATTAGTCTAGCTACACGTTTGTAAATTTCATTTACCTTTTCAATTTATCAACTTTTCATTGTCTTTTTAGTCTATTTTTATTTCTGCTCTAATCTTTATTATTTCTTTCTTTCTGCTAACTTTGTTTCAAAGTATTGTTTTTTATTTATGTTTTGATTTCTTCTTTGACCCATTAGTTGTTCAGGAGTATATTGTTTAATTTCCACATATTTATGAATTTTCCAGTTTCCCTCCTGTTACATCAGTGTGTAAATTATATCTCAAAAAAAGCTGGAAGGTTTTTTTAATGTGACACACATACAGAGGCTACCTGTTCAATTTTTGGCTCATTCATATGTAGGAAAGTTTTTTTACTATTATGCAGAATTGCTGTTTACAGTATGTCAATGAACTAACCTGTCTTAACATATTTGAAATTGTTCAGATACAATTCTTATAAAGACAACAGGTAAGCTCTGAAAGTGAAAATTTTATGTATTACAGATAATTTAAAGCAAAACAGGCTCCTGTAACTGATAAATGACTTCAACAAAGTTTCAAGATATAAAATCAATGTACAAAAATCAGTAGCATTTCTATGCACCAATAATACTCAAGCTGAGAGCCAAATCAAGAACACAATGTCATTTACAGTAGCCATAAAAATGGTAAAATATCTAAGAATCTAATCAAAGAGAATAAAGATCTCTAGAAAGTGAACTACCTAAAACTGCTGAAAGAAATCACAGATGACACAAACAAATGGGAAAATATTCATGAGTATGAATTGAAAGAATCCCTATTATTATAAATGGCCATACTGCCCAAATCAATCTACAGATTCAATACTGTTCTTATTAAACTGTCAATATCAGTTTTCAGAGAATTAGAAAACTCTATTCTAAGTTTCACATGGAACTAAATAAGAGCCCTAATGGCCAAAGCAAGTCTAACTAAAAAAACAAAACAAAACAAAAACAAAATCAAAGCCAGAGGCATCACGTGATTCAACTTCAAACTGTACATAAAGCTACAGTAACCAAAACAGCATGGTGTTTATAAAAAAAATAGACACATAGACCAAAGTAACAAAATGGAGAACCCAGAAATGAAGCCACACACCTACAGCCATCTGATCTTTGACAAAGTAGACAAAAATAAACAATGGGAAAAGGACTCTCTATTCAATAAATGATGCTGGGATAGCTGGCTAGCTATGTACAGTAAAATGAAACTGCCTCCCTACCTTTAACCATTTAAAAAAAATTCACTTAAGATGAATTAAGATTTAGATATAAGACCTCAAACTAGAAGAATCCTGGAAGAAAAGCTAGGAAACACCATTCTTGACATTGTCTTTGAGAAAGAAGTTATGACTAAGTTCTTAAATGCAATTGCAACAAAAACAAAAATTGATGAGTGGGACCTAATTAAACTAAAGAGCATTTGCACAACAAAAGAAACTATCAACAGAGCAAACAAATTACAGAATGGGAGAAAATATTCACAAACTATGTATCTGACAAAAGCCTAATATCCAGAATCTGTAAGGAATTTAAACAATTCAACAAGTAAAAAAAAATTCATTAAAAAGTGGGCAAAGGACTTGGACAGACACTTCAAGATGTTGGCTGCTTGTATGAAAGAAGACATACAAGCAGCCAACAGACATTAAAAAAAAAAAAAAGAAGAAAAGCTGTGTTCGTTTCAGCAGCACATATACTAAAATTGGAACTATACAGACAAGATTAGCATGGCCCCTGCACAAGGATGACATGCAAATTTGTGAAGTGCTCCTTATTTTTTTATTATCTCAATAGATGCAGAGGAGACCTTTAACAAGATTCAACAGCCATCCATGCTAAAAAACCCTCAATAAACTATGTATCGATGGAACGTATCTCAAAATAATAAAAGCTATTTATGACAAACCCACAGCCAATATCATACTGAACAGGCAAAAACTGGAAGCATTCCCTTTGAAATCTGGCACTAGACAAGGATGCCCTCTCTCACCACTCCTATTCAGTATAGTATTGGAAGTTCTAGACAGAGCAATCAAGCAAGAAAAAGAAATAAAAAGCATTCGATTAGGAAAAGAGAAAGTCAAATTGTCTCTATTTGCAGATGACATGACTGTATATTTAGAAGACCCCATCATCTCAGCCCAAAATCAATAAGCAACTTCAGCAAAGTCTCAGGATACAAGATCAATGTGTAGAAATCACAAACATGCCTATACACCAATAACAGACAAACAGAGAGCCAAATCATGAGTGAACTTCCATTCACAATTGCTACAAAGAGAATAAAATATCTAGGAATACAACTAACAAAGGATGTAATGGACCTCTTTAAGGAGAACTACAAATCACTGCTCAAGGAAATAAGAGAGGACACAAACAGATGGAGAAACATTCCATGCTAATGGTTAGGAAGAATCAATATTGTGAAAATGGCCTTACTGCCCAAAGTAATTTATAGATTCAATGCTATCCCGATCAAGCTACCATTGACCTTCTTCACAGAACTGGAAAAAATCACTTTAAACTTCATATGGAACCAAAAAAGATCCTGCATAGCCAAGACAATCCTAAGCAACAAGAACAAAACTGGAAGCATCACACTACCTGACTTCAAACTACAAGGCTACTGTAAACAAAGCAGCATGGTACTGATACCAAAACAGATATATAGACCAGTGGAACAGAACAGAGGCAACGCCACACATCTATGACCATCTGATCTTTGACAAATCTGACAAAAGCAAGCAATGGGGAAAATATTCCCTGTTTAATAAATGGTGTTGAGAAAACTGGCCAGCCATGTGCAGAAAGATGAAACCGGACCCCTTCCTTACACCTTACACTAAATTAACTCCAGTTGGATTAAAGACTTAAACATAAGACCTAACACCATAAAAATCCTAGAAAAAAACCTAGGCAAAATCATTCAGGACATAGGCATAGGCAAGGACTTCATGACTAAAACACTAAAAGCATTGGCAACAAAAGTGAAAATAGATAAATGGGATCTAATTAAACTTAAGAGTTGCTGCACAACAATCTACCTATCTGACAAAGGGCTAATATCCAGAATCTGCAATGAACTAAAACAGATTAACAAGAAAAAAAACAAACAAACTCATTCAAAAGTGGGTGAAGGTTATGAACAGACACTTTTCAAAAGAAGACATTTATGCCACCAACAAACATATGAAAAAATGCTCATCATTACTGGTCATCAAAGAAATACAAATCAAAACCACACTGAGATACCATCTCACACCAGTCAGAATGGCAATCATTAAAAAACCTGGAGACAACAGATGTTGGAGAGGATGTGGAGAAATACGAACACTTTTACACTGTTGGTGGGAGTGTAACTTAGTTCAACCATTGTGCAAGACAGTGTGGTGATTCCTCAAGGACCTAGAAATAGAAATACCATTTGACCCAGCAATCCCATTACTGGGTATATACCCAAAGGATTATAAATCGTTCTATTATAAAGACACATGCTCACGTATGTTCACTGCAGCACTGTTTACAATAGCAAAGACCAATCCAAACACCCAATAATGATAGACTGGACAAAGAAAATGTGGCACATATACACCATGGAATACTATGCAACCATAAAAAACGATGAGTTCGTGTCCTTTGTAGGGACATGGATGAATCTGGAAACCATCATTCCCAGCAAACTGACACAAGAACAGAAAACCAAAAACTGCATGTTCTCACTCATAAGTGGGTGTTGACCAATGAGAACACATGGGCACAGGGAGGGGAACATCACACACTGGAGTCTGTTGGGGGGTGGGTGCTACGGGAAGGACAGCAGAGGTGGCAGAGAGGTTAGGGAGGGATAACACTGGGAGAAATGCTTGATGTAGATGACGGGGGGATGGAGGCAGCAAACCACCATGGCATACGTGTACCTATGCAACAATCCTGCAAGAGCTGCACATGTAACCCAGAACCTAAAGTACAATTAAAAAAAAAACTCAACATCATTAATCATCAGAGACACAGAGACATACAAATTCAAACTACAATGAGATACCATCTCACACCAGTCAGAGTGGCTATTATTAAAAAGTCAAAAAACACTATATGTTGGCTGTGCTGTGGAGCAAATGGAACACTTTTACACTGCTGGTGGGGGTGCAAATTAGCTCAGCCACTGTGGAAAGCAATGTAGAGATTTCTCAAGAATTTAGAACTATCATTTGGCCCAGCAATATTATTATTATTACTGCATATATACCCAAAAGAAAATAAGTCTTTCTACCAAAAGACATCTGTACTCATATGTTCAAATGTCATAGTACTATTCACAAAAGCAAAGACATATAATCATCTTAGGCTCCCATCAGTGGTGGAATGGATAAAGAAAATGTACTACATTTATACCATGGAATACTACACAGAAAAAAATGAAATTATGTCCTATGCAGCAACATGGATGCAGCTAGAGGCCACTATTCTAAGCAAATTAACACATAAACAGAAAACCAAATATCTCATGTTCTGACTTACACATGGGAGCTAAACTTTGGATACTTACGGAAGTAAAGATAGCAACAATAGCCACTGGGATCTACTGGAGATAAATAAGAAGGGAGTAAGGGTTGAAAAACTACCTATTAGACTCTATGCTCGGTACCTGAGTGATAGGATCAATCATATTTCAAGCTTCAGCATCATGCTGTATACCCATGTTACAAGCCTGCATATGTACCTCCTGAATTAAAAATAAAAGTTGAAATTATTTTTAAAAAGAATAGAATAAAATAAAACAAACATTGATGACAATAATCCTTGTCTCATATCTCACCAGTACCACGTATTTTTTTTTCATTATTGCTTTTTAAACCAATGTCAGCTTAGTAGGTGAAAAATACTTTTGAAAAAAAAACTTTTATGCCCTTGAACTACAGCATTTTTCCCAAGTGTCTACTAATAGGTTATTTAAATATCTTTTTCCTATTTGAAATACTATAGTCATAGATTTGTTTAAAGTTTCTTTGTAGTAGTGCTCTTATATATTTAATTTTGCATCTTCATTTTAAAAACAATAGTTTATCATAACTCCAATTTGTATGTGATTTCAAGTTTAATTTTAACTGCTACATAACTGCCTTTCAGTGGTTATATAACAGATTACTGAATTATTTCTCTGATGCTAAGTATTTTATTGTCTTTTCTTACATACACACATGCAATACCAATAATGCTACTGGCATGAAACGTTGTCTATGTTTATTTATCTAGAAAGATAACTAGAAATGAAAATGCTGATGCTAAAATATGAACTTTTCTCAATCTTAATGCAACTTACTTTCCAAAAGACTTGTATCATATTAATTTCTCCATTTTCCCAAAATCTTCCATTTCCCAAAAATCTTGAGTTATTTGAATATTACCCTTTTAAAATGAAAATTCACGTATATTCTTAATGACAAGAAAATCAGCTAGCCTAAAGAAACCTTCTGCAAGAGAGACCTGCCCCACTGTGTGTAACCAGCGGGTGGTTTGCATCTGCTCAGGACAGAGTCCACTCGTGTGCTGCTCACACTGACCACACTCTACACTGCACAGCTTGAGGAGATGGTCAGTCCTAGGATGTGATTTGCCTTCTACCAGGGGCTGGTTCTGGACATTTCTCCCACAGGCCATGCTCTAAACAAGGAATGCATTTTCCCAGGGTCATGGGTAGCTTGAGTCAGGGTGCGGGGCATATCCTGGCTTTGGCTGCTCCCCGAACAGCACATGCAAACTGAAGGTAAGAGACAAAAAAGCTCTTTTTCCAGATTATTTTAAAATCTGTGCTTGGAGTTTCCTGCCACATCCTCCACAGTGATCTCCACATGTCAAGCAGCAGGAACAGAAGGAAAAAATCAACCACGTGCTTTACCACAGAGCAGCCCTGAATGGACCCCGGAGCTGGGGCAGAACAATGTTCATCAGAGGGAAACAGTGCTTCATCAGAGACAGGGACAACGCCCCAGAGACACGTGATCACCCCGTTTTCTGCAACTTAGAGTAACATTCCCTACAAATGTGCTGAAGAGCATCTTCAGAGGAAAGAGCAGTGTGGCTGAGCACCATGCACAGCCTAATTGGAAGAGTATTTCTGGAAGAGCACACCATATGCTTTACATTTGCATCCCGTCTATAAATATCCCAGGAACAACTTGAGTCCATAAATACTGTATTCAGAATGCTTTGCTGGAATCATCTTCCACTGCTCAGTCGTCTGTTTACTAATGCGGCTGTTCCTTGCCCCACTCATGGCACAGAATCATCCCCAAGATCAGGGTCATTTTGGGAAGCGAGCGGGTGCCACAGAGCCAAGGGTGGCCAGCGGCCTCTCCTCTGTCCCAATTGCTTTGGTCTCCTCCCCCATCGAGCTCTCAGGCCACCTCCAGGTGGAAAGTGACAGAGGACACTTCCTTAGCAAAAGCCTGGATAAGACATGAAATCGTTAATGAAACCCTAAAGAGACTGCAGTAAGGGAAGAGCCCTGTGCACCTGCAGAGCTAAACTTTATCCAGAGTATCCATGTGCAGTGGACAAGCAGGAGCTGTCTTCACTGTGAATCTGCTCTGCTAGAATTCATCTTTATTCTGCCAATGAGAAAGTCAGGACTTGACAATATTAAGAATCTCGCCTTGTGAACAAGCCAGGATTCTAACCTGGAGTTTATGCCGAGCCACACTCATAACAGGTGGCAAGACTGGCAAACCCCGGAGCATGGCTATCCATCTGCCAAAGGATTAGGAATCACCACCATTTGG